TTTCTTATACAGTCAAAGTCATCTCTGCCTGGTAAAACACAAACCGGCTTAGTTTTACATACTTTATAAAACTGCATTTTAACATTTATAAATCCATGTTAAAATTGATTTTTTTTTCCTTTGCTGAAGTGACACGATTTGACCAAAGGTTAAGTGAACTTGTGATCTTTTTTTGTAGCCAGCTGCTAAACGTGACCAGCATATTGGTTATGGGTGAAACTAACCACCTTTAAAGGTCATTTTTGTAACCATCATCTGCAAATTCTGAACAAAATGTTTACCACCAACGGACGTGTGCTGCTGTTCTTTTAACTTTACATGTTTCTTTTTAATTCTTCTCCCAGTTCATCGAGGGGCTTTGACTTTTCCTAGCCCATTCTAAATAATATGTCTTAACAACTTGCTTTGACTCACCTCACAAACTGCAAAATCTTGTAGTAAAATTGGCTTTTACACTGAAATATGGTCCAGCTCTAGTTCAACTTCAGATGATTGACTATTGCGTTGATAGAATACACAGATGTTTCGAACATTAAGTCAGAGCAGCTTATTTCTTCAAATTCTATTGAGTAAAAATAAATTTCTTTAAAATCTCTTTAGTAAATTTTAAAACCTTATTAAAATACATACATTTAGAATCAGTACCTTTAAAGATAAAGCTGTTCTATAAAGGAAAACTCCACATTACATCTTGTAATGTGAGGTAAATAACATTTATGTGGCTAAAGAGGAAACACAGAAAATGAATCCAAGAATGTAAGTTTCTCAAAGCAAGAAACCAGCGTTAAAAACACTATGTGCATTTAATTCTAGACTGGAAGAGAAAGTGGCTGCTGAGTCTCTGCATGGTGTCCCATACCACCCGCATCCCTTTATTTTTGATGTAAGACATTTTTGCTTTAACATTTATTTATTTTTTACCACAATCCAACTTTTGGTGATCTGTTAAATTAAAGCCCTAAAAACTAAAAGGTACCTATAAGTCAAAACGAGGTTCCAGAATCCAGCAACTGATCTATAACTTTTTTTTTTTTTTGCTATTTTGCTCAGGAATTTGCTACATTAACCACGACAGGAGACATACATAATTAGCTCTTAAAGTCATACATTAAAGGTAAAAACAACAAAATAGTAAATGCCATTTTGTAACATGTCAATGTAAATAAGCCAAGACAAGTCCTTTTCAAAACTGCTATTAGAGCAGGGCGATATGGCCAAAAATATTTATCACGATGTAGATTTTAAAATTTGCAATAACGATATAACTGACGATATAATTGATGCGAGACAAAATACAACTCCACAACTTTACTAGCGCAAAAAAACCCCATCCATTTATTTTCACTTAAACAAGCAGCTGTTTTTTATGTGCATTAAACCTATATAAAAATTTAACAGTGCAAATGCAAATTCTTTGCTGAAAGTTTAACCAAAAAACATTTCCAGTAGAAATGGGGTGACATATCCTGAGCATAACCATGTATAATATCCACTGAAGTTAAAAACAGGTGCTTTGCAACATTAAACTGCAGTGTGCCAAATAAAAAAGTCAAATACGTATTTTTCGGACCATGAAGTGCACAGGATTATAAGACACATTAAGCGGAACAAAGCAGTCAGATAAATCAAACTTAATCCAACTCAACTGCTGTATTCTATCACAGCTGCTCAATTCCCATGTTGTTGCAGTATATTAATGACTAACCTTCTATTGTGGATGGATTATCTCAGTTGTTCTCCTGACTGAAGTTTGGTCCGTTTACAGCATCCTGCCATGCGATTGCATTTGTCTCTAACCATCAGGAACCTTCACGTTAACTTTTATCGAGTGGAAAAGTGAGCGTTCATCCTCCAGCTTCACTGTTTATGTTATGCTAACATAGCTGTGTCGCTAGCGATCACATAGCACATCATTATATACCAGCTAGCCCAACTTCAGTAACCTTACAAACGTCACTGCTGTTTAGTTTCCTCTCTTCATTTATGTTGGAAATGATAGCAGAGCTGTACGTTTGAATTTTTTCAGAAATCTCTCAGTCAGAACATGTTATATCATGCTTAAGTAACTAGCGAAACTAGCGAGCTAACTTCCTTCCTGCTAACTTCTAACTCCATTAAATGTAATAAATTCTGTTTTCATGGATGCCTGGATGTTAAACTTCATAGTTACGCCTGGTAAAGCAGCAATGCTGATCGTTTTATTAAAGATGAAAGAATTTAGACAGTTTTTAACTCTCAGCGATGCTGCAGTGTTCGTTTGACGGAGTTTAGGACCCAGATTTACGAGCACCTTAGTCCGACAAATACGGCAATAACGACTGCCCGCTTGCATGTTCTACAAAAAAAAAAAATGCTTTGGTGTGTATCTGACGGACAAACACCAAACCAGTTCCACACCACTGAAGTTGCACCATTACAAACCAATTCTGGTTCATCCGTTTCACTCAAAGATCTGCTTTCTCCCTTCTCATTCTCCGTTGCCGCCATGCTTTTTTGGCCATGTGCGTATGAAAACAAAGGTGCTGCGCATGCGCGTTTTACCCATATTCTATCGCGATATTTTATTTTCTTATCGTTGCCTAACATTGTACCGGTATTACCGTGAACGGTATAATATGGCCCAGCCCTAACTGCTATAGTACTTTTTTAACGCAAAAAATGTAAAGGTCATTAGCCATAACCATAATCTTCATTCTAAAAAATTAACAAATGTTAAAATATGTTAAAATATGAAGATACAGAGTTCAAGTATGCCTGACTCTCATGCAAGACTTTACTAATTCGCTGTTGCTAATCTATTTATCATAATTATTAGATTTATTTAATCAGAAATGATACCTCAGCCCATCTCAAAAGATAATTAACACTTCATTATGAGGACTTTCATCAGGTGTAAGACTCACATTATCAATTTATCAACCACTTTGTCTCCATCTTTGTTTGCCAGCACAGTGAAATTTGATTTACTCTAATGATGCAAGCAGATCTGATTCCACCCACTCCATCTATTTCATTTCCAGGTGACTGAATGTTCAGAGCATCAAAGAGATCCTGTGTTTGCCAGTGGAGAATCAACCATTTCAGTCTCATTCCTTCACCCATAACCAAGTAGCTATTGTGGAGTTAAGCTGTGTAAGCTATTAATGCTAAAACAAGTAAAGCAGATTTCTAACCATTGGTTATATTCCATCCTGAAACATACATGTGACCTTTAAACATAAATTCCATAAACATTTTCATAAATGAGAGACCCCAAGTATGTGCAGAAACATAAAATAATAAACCAAATACACCCAAGTTGAGAAAATTGCTGATAGCAACTTGCTTCTAGTCATAATTTTTGAAAAACACATAGACAGTTTTTCACCCTCTGGGGCCTAATGGCAGATTCATGGTACCATGTTTATATCTCTTTGGGTAGGTATTTGTCTATGCTAAGGGAAGGAATACACAAACATGACTAAGGTCATCACTGATAATGACTTAGAACTCACAGAGTTAGATATAAATGACTTCCCAATGCTTGGATGCAATTCCATTAGCATATAAGTAGCAATAGCAAGCAAGCAATTGCTAGCTAGCCAATTAACTGCCAGCAATAGCACTGTCTCACACGATCCTTAAATTAGATGTCTTCTCAGTCAACTGAGAGATGTCACTCTCGTGTATCTATAAGTATGAAGCTACAATTGAGAAACAAAATTAGCTTAACACAAATGTACAAAAAATTGCAGTCAAGGAGAAAAGGCTAGATGAAAAGTCTAAAAGTTGAAAATATAGTCTACAGAGAAATCAAAAGCTGACTAACTGAAATCTCAAACTACATCTTTAACAAATGTTACAATTGGTTTTAGTACACAACTGCCCAAGAAACAATAATTTATCACCTTTAACTTATCAACTGGTACCTGGATTAAACAAGTAGTAGTAGTGTTACTTGTTGTTCTGCTAAGATAAAGCCCATTGCCTCTGAGCTATAATTTCATACTTATTACACATATACAAGATTTTTTTAAAAATCGGATTCTTAGCATTACTCTTTAATGAATCCTGTTATTTCTTGCATTCGCAAAAAAAAAGACACCCAACAATGAACACACTAAAAATGGTCCCTGATTTAACTATTATTATTTCTGTGCCCATTACCACAACAGTTAATATTGAAAAATAGAACTAAAAAAAACTTTAGGTGTTGTCACTTTAAATGATTGGTTTCTGCAAAAATTCACTACAATTAGATAAAATGGCTTTGTTTTAAAAGTAACAATGTTAGTTTAACTACTTTTATGAATCAAAGTGACATAACTGGTTCTGTGTAGTAAAAAGCTGAAGAAAACATAGTAACTAAGGTGATCCAGTGCCTTTTGCCTTTGATATATATTTACAGTATAGAAGCCACGCATGTAAGAGTACAAAGGACAACAGTAAAGATACTTTGAGCTTGAGGCCACACTGGCACATGACTTACATGTGCTAAGGTTGTTGCAGTGTTAAATTGCAGTTGAGCATTTGAAATATGCTTAAATTAAACCTTTGAAATATTTGTAATAGTTTTACTTTTTTTTTCTTCACCAAAAAGTTTTGGGTTGACAGTGGCGAAGAGCTGGTAGCAAAAATGCTCGTAAGTCAGTAAGATGTGCATTGTTTGCTAATAACATTGACAAACAATGTGTCTGTAATAATGGGGGGGGGGGGGGGGAGCTGAAAGAGTAGGTTTATCACATGCACACTGCCAATGTAAAACAACACCATTCAAGTGACCACATGGGAAGAACACCACATAGGAAAGATGTTTTCCAAGTAAGACGTTGGGAGCTGAGGGTTGCATGGATATCCAGTGTGGGTGCAAAACCAAGCTGTGATACTTGGGAACAAATGTATGCAGTCCATAATGTCACAGAAAATGTCGAGAGTGATTGGTAGAGCACATAGGACAGGGAACAAGTCCAACTGTCCAAAATAGAAGCGGTAAAAAGAGGTCATGTAGCTTCACATTTATCTCACACCTCAATGTGGACTTCTTTGGCTGGTGGTGTGTCTTTTAATGAGCCAGAGATGGCATAGAACCTGCAGAGATGTGAACATATGATAGAATAGTCAGACCAAAAAAGCTCACCAATATACAAGCAAAAAATAAAAATTGTGAAGCAAACCTTTAAGTATAAAACTTTTAAACTATCTAAGGTCATTGTTTACCAGTAGGGTTGGCTTGGGTTTGGTTAATGTCCACTTTTCTGTCAATTTGAAACACCCAAATGCAAAAGGTTTTAACAATAAAAACTATAATCAAAAGATTTGGGATATTATCTGAAAGTTTAATTAGCTTATTTTAGCTGCCCCCAAGTTCATAAAGGGTAGTCAAAACAGGTAGTTCCGCATATATGATCTGATTTTTTACACCAGATGCCCTTCCTGACGCAACCCCTAAAGGCTTGTGTCTCTACTTTATGAAATGTACCTATTTAGCATGTGGTTAAAATAAAACTCATTCCTAACCTTATAGAGGTTGCTCCAAAACCTAAGGCCCCAGTCACACAAACCTAGAGGTCAGTGGGCAACCAGACCACCTAGAAACCACAGGTCACAAGAGAAAAATGAGTATTCCCTGACCAACTGTAAGTTGTTGCTTTTCTGTGCAGTGCTGTGAAATAGATTGCTATGACCTAGTCACTCAGGCCTAGAAACCAGTCACTGGCCCTCTAATAAGCACTGATTACTAAGGAAAAATCTAATGTTCCAGATGTGGCCAGCTGGCAGGTGGTTTGGGGCGGTTCCATACTGTCACTATGTGAAACTGGTCACAAAAAGAATACATTGCAAAAATCTCCCTGTGATTGTTTTGGTCACTAGTAGTAGGTTGCTGAGGTTGCCCATAGTTGCTTGTACCCTTACCGCTGTAACCAACAAATTTCAGAAGGTCCAACATTGACTTTCATGGTAAATGGTCTTCATTGTCTTTTGTTTCCAGTTTTCATCACATATTTCCAAGTTTCTTGCTGCTGCTTGCTGATTAGTTACAGGCTGGCATGGCATGGCAGACAGGCTGTTATGTGCCATGCAAACTATCATTGACAGCAATCCGCTAGTCACCAAAGCAATTGCAAGGAGATTTCTGGTGCACCATACTCTTTGATTTGGGATCTGGGATTTCTCCCAGTAACAGCTAGCAAACTCTAACCACTTGCCAGTTAGTCAATGAATACACATTTTCTCCCAGTGACTGGAGGTTGCCAGAGAGTTGCTGACTAATCTCAAGGCCTCAGCATTAATCCTATATTTTGTGCTAAACACTTTTCTGGAAATAGTTTTGAGCACAGATTATTTTCTTTGAATCCTGATTGCCAAGGATTTGTTCGACTCCATAAGAGGTTTTTGAAAGGGTGAAATCCTATAACCATGATCTGTTCTGGGCTAAAGATTGTTTCCTAGCAGAAAGCATCAAGGCAAAATTTTTCCCACTGCTAAAACATTTCAGAAAATGTCTTTATGTATGTATAAAGGCTAGTTTTACCTTGACTTTCTAAAATGCCTTCGTTTCTTCATAACCTTAAAACAGGAGGCTGAGATTTTCAGGTCCACAAGCTGGTAGATAATGGGATTGTACATTGCGGAGGATTTGGCCAGCAACGTAGGAACAACAGACACAGGGATGGGCACCGAGTCTGGCTCACCAAATGCTGACACCACTGACACCACTGCATAAGGGATCCAGGCTATCAAGAAGCCTGTGCAGATCACCATTGCCACCTGGACACAAAATAATATTCTGATCATAAATTTGGACTGAGTAGCACTCAAAAATCTTTGCTCTTTGTTCTACTTCCATTATCACTAATGTTGGACCTACCTTTGTGAGTTTCATCTCAAGGGTGTGGCTGTTTTTGATGCGTGCATCATAATGTGAAATTTCCTTAGCAGATGACTTGACCTTGAAGATGATCATAACATAAGAGAAGACAATGATCCCTGCAGGGAGTATAAGACAGAAGAACAAAATGGCCATGACGAAGCTCTGGCCAGACACTGAGGCTTGAGCCAACCACCAGTCCAGGGTACAAGAGGTCCCAAAGGGCTCCGGGGCGTAGTTTCCCCAGCCCACCAGGGGCATTGTGGCCCAGAAGGCTGCATACACCCATACAAAGGCCAGGCAAAGGAACGCGTGGTGGCGTTTTAGCCATGTACCTAGGATTGGAGAAAGAAACCCCAAGACTAATGTTGGTTAAATGGTACATTTTGACTGCCAGACTAATTTTCTATGCCACAAATGAAAAGGATTCAGAGCATTAGATTTAGTAGGAGACTCACAAAAATTCCTAGAAAAATACTGAGTATTAAAAAAAAAAAAATCTGTAGTCAATGACTCTTCACATCAAAAGGTATGTTGTTGACATCAGTAAACAAAAAAAAAGTATTAAACTACTGTAGTGGAATATTTTAATTCTGGGATCTTACACATTTGTATTATTGTGTTTGACTATGAATGACTAAAAAGGAATTTAATTTAAAAGAATTACAATACAGTGTTATAACGGCTTAGCTGTGGTTATAGGCTAATAACAAATACTATACTCCGGAGGCTAAAAGCCCCATCCCTTTACAAAACAGTGTAGTGCAGTGCTGCACTGTTTTGTTTCACAAAACACTGCAGGGATCAGATGATGGGGAGCCCCCCTTAATCTGATGTTTATGATGGGGCGTTCCCACACCATTATAGTGATGTACACTTTAATGGTGTGGGAACTGAATGGAAAATAAAAAGTAAGAGGAGCACCTACAGTAGATCATGAACCTAGATATTTGTGCAATACAGGCTTACAGATGTTTTGTTAGAGCATCATTTATGGCCTATAACTCATGTGAAGGTAAATCTAAACCTTGTCAAGAAATGGCCAGTGATTCAGGAATAACTCCTTTTATTAAATTGTGAGAATTTAAATACGTAGTTATAGTCACAGGTTTGGATCTAGACTGCAGACCTATTCATATCTTTTTTACATGAAAGTCAACAAATTCAGTAGTCCCTTGTTTATCGCGGGAGTTACGTTCTAAAAAAAAACCCGCGACAAGTGAAATCCGCGAAGTAGAGCCATTTTTTTAACAATTGTTATAGATGTTTTAAGGCTGTAAAATCCCTCACTACACACTTTTCTCAGACAGGCATGGAAATGTTCACACTTTTCACCCCAGGTGCCTTTGACGGTGAAAAACGTTTTGTTGATGTTGTGTTTGTTGGACATAAAACTTACAAACATACAGTACAGCACTTCAGAAACACACTGCTAGCGATCAAAGATTTATGTAAATTTGACAAGCTGAACACATTCTGTACTGTACAGGCAGTGTTGGGGAGTAACGGAATACATGTACCGCCGTTACGTATTTAAAATACAAAATATGAGTAACTGTATTCCGTTACAGTTACCGTTTTAAAAGCCAAGTCACAGTATGAGCAAAAGATCAAAGCAATTATAAAAAAAAAAATTACAGAGATAAAACGGAGAAAAAAAGGATGGATGTGAATTTATAAGCATACTGGTGAATTTATAAGCATACTGGAAAATTAAGTAAGTACCTGGTGGTTGCATCTGCTTGTGTTTGGTTAGGTAAAATCTGTCGAATAAGATTCAAGCAACAGCCACTCATTTTCTGCTCATTTTTTTTTTTTTGTATGTCTTTTTGTATGTTTACAGGGGTGGCTGTTGCTCAGACGGCAGAGCAGGTCACCCACTGCTCGGAAGCTTGGTGGTTCGATTACTGGCTTACCCCTAGTCTGCATGCCAAATATCCTTGGGCAAGATACTAACCCCATGTTGTTCTCCCAGTCAGGGTATTTTTAATTCTGAGCTACTGGCAAAACACTTTGGTTCCCTTTAAAGTATGTAAGTGTACGTGAACATCTGATGTTTATGAAAATTTGCTGAGTTGTTAGTTACGCACCATATCGGAGATGGCAAATCTTGAGATACCGGTCCAGGCTGACCACAGTCATTGTGATGAGGCTCCCACATCCAAAGAAGAAGCCTGCCCAGCCATAGAATCGACATCCCTCCCAGCCAAACAGCCAGCGGTGGGATAAACTAGACACAATGAAAAAGGGCTTTCCTGTCACTGTGAGGAAAAATAAATAGGAGACAGAGTAGAAGGGAAATGGAACAGAAAAAGAGAGTGTGTGGGCAGAGAAAAAGGATGAAGACAAAGATCATAAAAGAAGGTAGTGTTGGAGTGGGGTGGGACAAAGAGAAATATTTGGTTGAAAATGGTAAACAGACAACATGTAGCATATTGAAACATACATTCTATTTTTTCAGGGAGAAAACCTTGTGGAACATATCACAACAGAGCTAAATAGCTGCAGATCAGAAACATGACTGGATGTAGGAGAGCAAAAGACAGAAGAAACTGCTTGAAGAAATGTTAAATGCAAGTAATGCATTTAACATTGCTGTGTGTGTTGGTGTTGAACTGTAGCTAAAGGTTGGCAAACCCTTTATGTTCGACACTCTATTCCTTCTGCAATGCTTAAATGTTCAAAAGTTAAATGACTCAATTCCTAAACCTAAAATTCAAAATGTTATTCTTTATTTACATAATTTAATAATTGTAACTGTCTTTGTAATCTTTTTTTAACAGAGCCTTACCATTAAGATACAGTCACGGTCAGTGTTAGGGAGTAACGGAATAAATGTACCAGCGTTATGTATTTAAAATACAAAATATGAGTAATTGTATTCCGTTACCGTTTAAAAAGGTGGTATTCAGAATACAGTTACTTTGTTGAAATAAATGGATTACATGGCAGTTTTTCCTGTTTCATATGTTAGGCGTGGAATTCCACGCCGATGGAAACCCAAACAAAGCATGCATTAAGAGGCTCTAATGCCTGTGTCTCAATCTTGCGGTCCATGTCACCTCTACTTTCAGCCCACATAATGATGTGACAAAATATTTTTAAAAATTATTGTTCAAAATTTTTTTAAATTTTTTAATTTAATGGGCAGAGTGTGACAGGCATAGCCCAGTTGTAAGTAAACTATTAAGTCTCGACTATACACTGTGTTCAAGTTCTCCCCGAAACAATAAGTTCTGTTGGAGCAGCCTTTCAATGCCTCTCTCTGTGTCTCACTAGCAAAGTTAACCCAGACAACAAAGTAAAGCTAGTTTATGAGCTCAGTTATGAACCCGACATATATTAGCCAGACTTCCCTTTACTACGGTTCGGAGCCGTTTATAAAAGCGCGGAATAGTTTTCTATACGAGATCGCTATAAAAAGTGCAGCCTTACTCAATGTCCACCCTACTGTTACTCATTTTATATTAAGATTTGAGAGTGTGAGAGTGAATGAATAGTGGAATTGTAAAGCGCTTTGAGTGTCTAGAAAAGAACTATATAAATGCAATCCATTATTATTATGTATTTTGTAAAAAGCTTGATAATATATTATGTATTCAGAATACGTTACTCTCATTGAGTAACGTAATACATTTTGGGGCATGTATTCTGAAATCTGTAGTGGAATACATTTTGAAAGTAACCTTCCTAACACTGGTCATGGTAAAAAAAAGAAAGTACACCGTCTGTTAGTTCTAAGCTTTTATGTATCAGGGCATAATAAAAAATATCTAGTCCTTACCGGGTCTTACAATTAAGTCAATACAACCAGAAATGAGCAACAGCACATGACACCATGGAATTATTTATTTGACAAAAACTAAGCCAGAAGCAGTGTGTGAAAAACTAAGTACACCCCATGGTTAATTGGGTAGTAGAACCATCTTTAGCAGCAATGACTTGAAGTAATAGATTCCTGTATAACTTTTAGCCCACTCTTCTTTACAACGTTGCTACATTGAGGCTTCTATTTGAGGTCCAAGTTGGATTGAGGTATGGACTTTTGACTGGGCCACTGCACCACCCTGATTCATTTGTTTTTCAGTAATTCTGTTGTAGATTGCTGCTCTGGTTGGGATCACTGTCCTGTTGCATGGTCCAATTTGGCCAAAGCACTAGCTGTTGTATAGATAGTCTCACATTTGACTTAAGAATATTTTGGTAAAAAGAGGTCAAATGCAACTTTACAAATCTAAGTCATGCAGCCATGCTGTCCTTGTTAGAGAGAACAGCATGGCTGCATGAAAATAAGCCGTATTTGTTCAGTATTATTCTAATAGCATGTTAAATGTTAAGCACTAACTGAGGCTGACAGACATGGATCTTGTTTTTGTTTTGTGTGTGTGTTTGTGTGTGTGTTTTTATTGTGTCAACAGTCTGCCCTTGTGGTGAATTTCCTGGGATTTCCACTTCTGGAAATACTGGCAATCATCTGTAAATAATCTTTTCAGCTCTATAAAGATGGACTTCAAATAGTTTGGAGCTGGCCTTATAATCCTTCAGAGATTGATGGCTTTTTCTATTGGCTTCTTTAAGAACACTGCTCGTGTCGTTCTTCGTGTCTTCCACATCTAAAAACCCTAGACCAACAAACTGCCAAACTGTCTGCTTTGCTTTTACAGAGGTGCTCACACTCATGTAATGATCTAATCAAGTGCATTTGATTAGCAGCATCTGGCTTCTACTTACTCTCTTAATTCTTATGGAAGCAGTAAGGGGGGACTTTCACTCACTGTTTCTGTATTTTGGTTCAATTTCTGTCAAATAAATAACGACGTGCTGTTGTTGTGTCAGCACATTGACACAACAGGATGTGTTGCTATGGCCCAGTACATATCATGTGTTGTTGTTCATCTGAGGTTGTATTTACCTCATTTTGAGACCTGCTAAAAGTTGATGATTTTCTCATTGTGTCCTAATACATAAAGCCTCATACTTTCTTTATGCTGTGACTGTGAGTTTTTCTCTTTTTATGCCGCCTTAACAACAGTTATGAGTGCTGCATGTTTAAGCAACAGGAGATAAAAGTTAAATGTGACTTTTCCCTCCATGTCCTGTATCACACATGAGACAGTTCTTGTAACAACTCACTTTAGTTTCTCATTACTGAACAGCAATAAGGAAAATATGATAATACTGACTTTAGCATTAGGAGTAATTCTTGTAATGAATCTTCCGTAAAATGCAGACAGTTTATGTGAAGGTTATGGTGGACAGATAATTGTCTTGGGATTTGAGATCAAAATATCCTTCACACACCACAAGAGCTACAGAGCTTAACACAAAGATCCACTGTATCGCTCACACCACACTGACTTCCTGACTGTTGTGTCAGATGTGGGCCCTCTTCCTAGATAGCTGGATGGGCAAAAAGCCATCGCGTTCCAAGAATCTCTAGTCGGGATTCCAGACATGATAACCCAAATATTCTCTTGGAATCACTGAAAGCCAGCAGGGGTTATACACACACTTCCACACCCCTGCTCACTTGCTTGTAGCCTTAACAAGACTTACATATATTACTCAGTCATGACATGATTTCTACCCCCATAAATAAATAACATTTTTGTTTGCTCTTTGGTTTGTGCAATGTTGACCATTGCTGTCCTGGGTCACAAGGAAAGGATTAATATGTAAATTGTTATTCTATTCAGAGATATAGCAGCAAGGCTGTGGCATGGTAAGACAGCATAAGGACAATAACAAAAGTTATCTCTCAAAGCTTTACATTCTAAAATTCTGCTGAAATGAAACAATCCGTTGATTAAGGGCCAGATTTATTAAGACCTCAGTCAAATAAGCCTAGAAGCTGGTTAACAACCTCCAGTCAACCTCTAGTATCTAATGGGGGATTTTCATTCTCTGAGTGGTGGTGAGTGGTATTTGGAGGCTGCTGGCTGTCATTAGGTGAAAATCTGTGATTGGTTAAGTATTTAGCAGACTGCCACATTCAGTTTGCATGGAAGACACTGACTCCCCCGTAGCAAGTCAGTGTCTTCACTCACCATTTACTCTCCAAGCTGTATGAAACTTGGAAAAAATGCAATGCAAACTGGAAACTTTACAGAGCTCTCCCATACTTAGCCATAACGATTGGCGATAACCAATTCAAGATGCATGTTTTGTATGCAATCCATACTAGGATTCTTGTCCTCCCTCCAGCACTCCACATTAAGGTCAGTTCATTTGAAAGTTGCTCTCTTACATCAGAGCAGAGTGAAGACCAAAATTATTTCAGGCCAGGCTCTCAACAGTCAGGGTGAGGACTCAGTGAAGACAGGGATAAAACTCTGACGTTGCACATGGGCTTCGGAGCAGACATCCCAAAACCCCTGTGCACTGGTTCTGATCACACTCCTCGTGGCAACTACCAGATAACATGATTTTTCCTTTATTAAATTAATGGGACGTCTAAGTGTTGCTCATGAATATACTGAATATCTTCTAATTGTAATTCATTATGGCAACCAGTTTTTGATGGTACTATCCATCCTAGATTACAAGCATGTCTGAATGACCTCATAATCTTTATTTCTTGCACTGCAAAAAAAATAATTTCAATAATGGAGATTATTCATAATGTTAATGTATGTGTCCTCTAATCTAGAGAAACTGGTCCTGGACTCTTCTTCCATTATGAATATGACTAAATGTAAAGCTTTCTGTTTTATATTTATACTGACCATTGTGTTATCTTTCAAATGCCAAAAGCATAACTGTAATAGCTTTTGTTTATGGTGTATTGTTTTTACAATGATCAGGGAGACCACAGCATGTCCTTGTAAGGCCCAGTGAAAAAGGCTTAGTGAGAAAGCCAGTGAACCAAAGAGGAATAGTCAAGATTACAACACAGAGGATGGAGCATTATGGAAGGTATAAATATGTAACGATGTTTAAATGAATGTATATGATGGTGATGGAGGTGATGTAATAAAATTATATCACCTCCATCACCACAAATGGTGTCTGATAATGAATGAATTTTCACTCATTTTCCAAATTGTAATAATTATGTATGTATTGATCCATAGTTGTGTAAGCTGAAAGGAAAGTAATTAAAAGCCAACAGTCAAAAATAAAAAACACTCTGAGGGCACTGAGGTCTTCTGCTGATAGTATATTTAAATAGTATATAGTATATATACTGACAGAAAGTTCCTTTTGAGATGAGTTAAAAATGCACAAAGGAGTGGGGGCATATATTGGGAAGTAATGGTTA